GGTACATTTTTGATGTGTTTTACCATGTTCCACTACAGTTCTGTGCCGAAAAAATGCAGCGTTTTTTTTTTTTTTTTTTTGTTCTGCAACTAAAACGCACTGGAACTGCAAGCACTGATGTGAACTATGACATTGACAACCATTTAACCTACTTTCTGTGTGTTTTGGATGCAGAAAAAAAGCAACTAAAGCGCATGTAGTGTGAACTGGCCCTTATTCCTTTCTGGATTTAAAGATCCAGAATCTCTCGATCTTCTTTTAGTCCTCTGTATAGTGCATTGATGACACATTTTACATGTTTTGTTAATTATTATTATATAGGATTTATAGAGCACCAACAGTTTGCTCAGCGCTTTACAATATAAAGGGAGACAATACAGTTCAATACAAGAGGGATAGGAGGGCCCTGCTCCTCGAAGCTTAATGATTACCATTCTTACCTATGTAAGGTGAGTTTTCATGGAAACCAGTAATGCGGTGAGTGAGGGGTTTTTGTTTTTTTTTTTTTTTTTTTTTTTTTTTTTTTTTTTTAATGCTACGCACCAAATGACGGCAGTACGAATTTACCATTATTCATAGGATCCATCCTTGAGACTGAGGTTTTGTAGGTAATAGATTTGTCCATGATTAGAGGTTCTTTGTCTGATGCATATAAAGGTTCCACAGGGATGCCATGTATTTTAGGCCCGGTTCACCCAGGGTGATTAGCTGTGTGCCTCATTCATGGCAATCTTTTACCGGCATAGGGATGCACAGTTATTGCGTGCAGTCCCATAGATGTCTATTGGCACATGCAGCTGTCCCAATGTGACATCCATGTGGCTGTATGTCCTGTAACTCACCTTGGGTACGTTTCGGGCCGTGCACCCACACGGATGTCACATTGGGATACAGCAACTTCATCAGCACAGCCACGTTTTGCAGTTGACAACAATGGGATGCCAGCATGGGGATGCATGCAGCACCTGTGCATCCCTTTGCTGGTAAAAGATGGTCCCGGATGGGGCACACTTGTCATCACCCTGTTTGAATAAGGCCTTACAGTGATTTTAGAGCCATCTAGATTACAGATCTCATACATATATTATGGAGATGCTCATCTGGGAAAGATGTATCATATCTCTTTTTAAAGCGGTGTTAAACTCTGCTTTTTCACTTTTTCCTTCAGGGAAGCTTATAGTACGTCTTACCTTGTAGGTGCATTGGAAACAGTCTAAAGCTGCACTGTGATTGCAGAGAGCACTGTGCCATGATGGTGTGACTCCCGTGTGCATGTACAGGAGTGACGTCATCATGGCCAGCCATGCAAGCGGCTGGAGGCCATGAACCTGGGAGGAAGAACAGGCAAAGATGGAAGTGTCAGGAGGGGTGACAGCTCAACGCTGGAGTTCTCTGTTTGAGAAAAAGGCCTGTCATAATGTGCATTCTAGCACATCATGGCATCAACTTGCAGGGGGACCGTTTGTTTTTTTTTTTTTTTTTTTTTTTTTTTAGTTCAATACCACTTTAAAGAGGATCAGTAGTATTTTTTTTTTTTTTTATTATTTATCACATATGTAAATGTGATATAGCTTCTTTTCCACAACTTACATCCTTAAAATCTTTCTTCTAGTTTAGAAATTATATACCCAAATAGAGATGGTTGTTAATTATGTCTACCTATTTATTGAAGGTCTATCCAACAAGGTCTGTTGAACAGCCAGAGACTCTTTCTAGTCTATTATTGCACCAGGAAAACTCCAGTTCTGTTAGTTCATTTATTAATTAATTAATTAAATTTGTAAATTTCACCTCCACAACTTCTCCAAGATACGGCCATTCTTAACCTCGGAAACTACTAAGCAACTTATTCACTCCCTGGTTATATCTCGCCTTGACTATTGTAACTCCCTCCTCATTGGCCTACCTAATCGTAGGCTATCCCCTCTTCAGTCTATCATGAATGCTGCTGCCAGACTCATCCACCTTACTAACCGTTCTGTATCTGCCACCCCTCTCTGCCAATCCCTCCATTGGCTTCCCATTGCAAAACATTAACAATAACGTATAAAACCATTTATAACTCTGCCCCAAATTACATCACCGATCTTGTCTCCAAATATCACCCAAACCGTACTCTCCGCTCCTCGCTTGACCTCCTGCTCTCTGGCTCCCTCGTCACCTCCTCCCATGCTCGTCTCCAGGACTTCTCCAGAGCTTCCTCCATCCTCTGGAACGCTCTATCCTAATTTATCAGACTATCGCCTACTCTCCTCACTTTTAGGCGATCTCTGAAAACCTATCTCCTTAGGGAAGCCTATCCTGCCCTCAGCTAATAATTGAATCTTCTACTCCTCCTACCAGTTCATCCCCCCAGTTATTACCTTTTGTATAGCCCCCCTCCTACAAGTTCCAAGGAGCAGGGCCCCTCCTATCCTTTGTATTGAACTGTATTGTTGCTGTACTAGTTATAATGTAAAGCCTGAGCAAACTGTTGGCCTATATAAATCTGTATAATAATACTCCTAGATTGTAAGTTCCTATCCCTCTTGTATTGAACTGTATTGTTGCTGTATTGTCTCCTGTTAGTAAAGCGCTGAGCAAACTGTTGGCACTATATAAATCCCTCTAGATTGTAAGCTCCAAGGAGCAGGGCCCTGTATCCCTGTATTGAACTGTATTTGCTGTATTGTCTCCTGTTATAATGTAAAGCGCTGAGCAAACTGTTGGCGCTATATAAATCCTGTATAATAATCATAATAAATTAATTGGCAAATGTCCTTGCTAGCCAGTTGCTATAAATTACCTTTCAATTTTAGTTTGCTATGATTTTCTATACACCGCAACAAAAAAAAAAAAGAAAAAAAAAATCACACTTTTGCAACAGTACTCCATGGTGTTGATTTACTAAAGGCAAATAGGCTGTACAGTGCAAAGTGCACTTCCTCTAGATCTAAAGGGAGCATGCGAGTAAAAAAAAAAACAACATTTTTGCTTGCACGATCTGATGAAAGAAATCAGCAGAGCTTCGCCTCGGATCTCCTAGATTGTAAGCTCGAAAGTGCAGGGCCCTTGACCCCCTCGTGTTCTGTTTTGTTACTGTATTGTCTCATGTTCTGTCCCCCACTATAATGTACAGCACTGAGCAAACCTTTTAGTGCTATATAAATACTGTATAATAATATAATCTAAAGCAACTGCACTTGCAGGTGCACAGCCTATTTACCTTTTAGTAAATCAACCCCATTGTATAGACAGCATTTCCAAACCCTCCTCAGCTGACACTTTTAGAATTGGTTTACTAGTACTTTTGGAATCTGCACAGAACCAGGCAAACGGACATCCTCCTGTTCCATGAAATGTTGTAACCTTGGAAGTCTCCTTAGGTTTGTAACATTGGGGGTTTCATTTTTGGCTAATTGCTTGCATGTCTATATGGATGACAGAGCATAGTGCTTATTACACCACTGGGACTGACTATTTGATTATAGTAAAGGCAGTGATTTCTATTTCTGTGATTAGATTTACTAAGGATCCCTTCTATATGTGTATCTGACTTGGAGGACATCTTTTGCTCAACAAAACTGGAGTTTCTCTTTAAATTTGGTTTCCCATATGGTGAAAGCACAAGCCATGTAATAAAGTAATGAATCATTTATTGGACTCTGTTCTCAGTCATACTCCATGAACTACAGGCAGTTATCTGTATAAAGAACTGCATAGCAGTGTAGGATGTTATTACTACTCAGGCTGCCACGTCCTTTCATTATGCATTAGTACCAGATGCTGTTTTATATCACCACTCTGTCTCTGCGACTTTTACTATAGACAAAATAGTTGTGTGACATGTATTACAGCTGCAATTAAACCGTCACGGTACATGCCTTGTGTAGGATGGTCTGTATTTGTAAAATAACGGAGTACAGCAGTCATTTGAGACCAGTCAATGTTCACAATTTTGTCAGTGGGCTGATGAAAACAGAAAGTTGTTTTAAAACCCAAAAACCTACATTTATTTTCTTGCAGCTTACCAATCCTTAGATGTAGTGGATGCATTATTTTTTTTTTTATTAGGTTTTTTTTTCCCTTTTATTTTTACCTGTGATCCGGCCAGTAAGTCTGTTAGGTTTCCATCTTTCTTTAACAAACCAAGCTGTAAAGCAAAAGTAGCAGTTAGAGGGTTGAGACAAATCATTTAACACTGACAGAGGTGCAGCTTTATTTATTTATGTAAAACATTTATCCTAAAAGGGAAAGAAGTGTTTGTTGGAGTTTGGCTTTAATTTTAGTCAAGTCCATCTAACACTACCTTCTCGCCAAGTTAACAGTGCTGCTGCCCAAAGGGGTCTCTGTTGCTACTCCATCCAGTGTGGAGACACCCTAAGAAAGGACGTGTTACTGGCCAGATCACCAGGTGAAAATAAAAAGGGGGGGGGGGGGGGGAGATCAACGCATCCACAAAATATAGAGTGTAAGGTCATCTTTTTACAAAAAAATTGAAAATTTGAACCAACACACCACACCCTGCATCCCCCCCCCCCCCCTCTATTCCAGTGATCCTTGCTGCATTTACTTCCATGGATGATTAGTTTTTACTGCCAATGCAGCAGTCCAGGGATTTGATATCTGCAGTCATCTTCCCCTTCTTTCCTTAGGAATACCAGGACAGATCAAAGTGATTCCAATTGGTCAAAGCAGTCCCGTGCCAGCACTGACTATTCAGAATCATTCTGATCTCTCCTGTTGTCTCTGAGGAAAGCAAGGGAAATAAGACTGTTTTCATATCCCTGGACCACTGCATTGGGCAGTGAAAACTAACTGTCCATGGAGGTAATTGCAGAGGGGAATGGGGGGGGTATGTAGTGTGTACACTTTTTTTTTTTTTTTTTTTTTGTGAAATTTTGAGGATTCATAAGCTGCAATATATAACATTTTTTTTACCCGCTTAAATTTTCATTAGCTTTTTCAGGCTGCCACATTGTACTTTAAATTGTCCTTTAATGCAAATGTGTTCTTTCACAGGGAAGAGGACGTGCCAGTTGATGTGTTACGACAGAGGGAAGCAAAATGGCTGGATATGCTTTCAAACTGGGATAAATGGATGGCAAAAAGGCACAAAAAGGTAGAAACCTATGTGTATGCTGTACCATCTGATAACCACATCTATTAGCAACACCCTCACCCAGTCATCTGGGTGTAGCATGGTAGGGTGTGCTCAGGGCACCTTTAGTTTTGGGACATATTTTATTTTTAGGTCCTTTTAAATGTTGTTTAAGCAACATCCCATTTCCTGTGTGGATCATTATAATGGGCCATGGTTTGTCTGGAAAGACTGGCAAATTCACGTGCACTGAGAGAGGCTGAGACCTGTGTAGAGGTCAATAAAACCGGATCTTGATTATCCTTGTGTTCTACACACCAACTGGTTAAACCATTTTCTAAGCAACACTGAATGAAATTGGGTTACATGCTATTGGATGGGGAAAGGTTAAATATATCCTACTAAACAATAAAAACATTGTGCAGTATTTAGCAATTCACACCCGTAATGTCTCAGTGTGAGCATCCATCATTTAAACTTGTGATATTCGTATCAGTAAGATCAGCCTGTGTTTTGATGTACAAGGATACGTAGAATACTACTGCTAAAAGCATTTTTCACATGCCATCACTTACATGGCACTGCTGAGCCTGGACCAAGACCTATATGGCTTAAACCTAAAGGCAGGCTGTGGTTTGACCTCCTGCTGTTACAGTATTTGTTAGGAACTGGATGCTCATATACAAGTTCAATCTTGCCCCTTGTGATTTTCACTGATTGACGTCTGTAGAAGATGGGAAGACACTAATCTACAGTATACTCAAAGACGGCAGGCAGTGCATTGTCTAGACAGCTATTGCTCAGTCCTTTATTATGCCTCTGACCACACACTTTAGATGAAATGCAGTATGGTTTTACACAGCTTGACCAAACTACTTTGTAAAACAGTTGAAGTGAAGGCCATTTGCATACCGTGCCTGCGCATGCAATGTAAAGAAAAAGGTGTCTTTTTTTTTTTTTTTTTTTTTTTTTTTTTTTCAGTTTATTGCCAAATATATTTTTTGTAGCTCAAGGCTATAGTTGAAAGTCAAAGTAGAGCTTTTCAGTTGTGGGAAAGAGTCTGATGTCACATCCTTTGCTAGGCAGACCACAAATATCACATTTACTGTTAGAAAATGTGAGGGCAATCTAAAATGACCGTGGTTGCAATTTTTCTATGTAAAAAAAAAAAAAAATCATTTGACTTACCCTTTATGTATATTGTTTGTTGCTTCATAATGTCACCTTGCAACTTAAAGTAGACCTCAAGTCTCCTCACAAATTAAAAAGTGGTGGAAAACCTCTAACATGAAAAATTAACAAAGCACATCCTTCAATAGTGTGTACTTGCCTCTATCTAAAGCGCCGAGTATGATTTTTTTGCTGTGTCTTCCCTTTGCTATCTGCATGAGTCATTGCTATTAGTCCACAGCAATCTGGTTGAAGGCCTGTATCCCCCCTTCCCTACAAAATAGCTGACTGACACCTTCAGCTGTGTATAGTTCTCCATGATTCTGTGTAGAAGGGGATGTGTCCATTCTCTCCACTGAGGTTTCACTGAGCTCTGTGCTCCATGTGTGCAGTGTGTGTGAATTCAGATCCCTGCTTTCCTGCCTTCTACTGCTGAGAAATTGCTTTTGATCTGTGTGTTTTTAGGAGGCTGGATGTGGCTACAGATAAACAGATACAATTTAAGTAGGAGGATTTGTATCATCTCTGTGCCTCACCTGAAGCCAGTCACCTCACTGGGTTTATGTAATGGTTTACAACCACTTTTAAAGTGGTTGTAAAAGCTCAAGGTTTTTTACCTTCATACATTCTATGCATGAAGGTACAAAACCTTTTGTGTGCAGCAGCCCCCCTCCCCCCCTTAATACTTACCTGAGCTCTATTGCGTTCCAGAGAATTGCACAAGATCCTCTGCTCTCCATGGACTCTTCCTCCTCATTGGCTCCCGCTGCTGTCAATCATAGGCAATAAGCAAATGAGAAGAGAGGGGGCGGGGCTGATCCACAGCTTTGTGTGAATGAACACATAGAGTAGCGACTCAAGAGCAAGTCTGCTTGGGTGCCCCCATAGCAAGCTGCTTGCTGTGGGGACACTCAGCAGGAGGGAGGGGCCAGGAATGCCCACAGAGGACCTGAGGAGGAGAATTGGGGCTGCTCTGTGCATAACCACTGCACAAAGCAGGCAAGCATAACATGTTTGTTATTTAAACAAACAAAAAAATAATTGCATTTAATATCACTTTAAGTATCATTGCATAGAATTCCCTCCACATTTGAACCACTCAATAACTGAATCATGAATCCATTTGCAAGTGTGAATTGTCCTGCTGAATGTTTGGATAGAAAGTTTTCTCTGAATGCTTTCCTTTTTTTATCATCCATGTAAACTGCAGTTATTTACAGATTTAATTTAGTTTAGCTGTTGATATTTGAAAGACCAACACCATGCAAAAATGAAATCTGAACAGTGCAATGTGCATTAGTTACCTTACATTGCAGTCTTGACCCCAAACACCTCTTCCTAAGCAATCTTGCAGTGTAGTGAATCACAACCAGGCATTTTTCACTGCTTGTTATCTTCTTGGGTACTGTTTCACCCCCCCCCCCCATCTCCCTCCCCCCTTCAGGATGTTACAGACAAGTGTTTTTTTTTTTTTGTTTTGTTTTTTTGGAGTGCAGTGAGCATGTTCCCCTTAATACATTGGATATTCAGCCTCTGATTATTGCATAGGGACATTTTATGTTTAGGAGATTTAACAGTAATGGCGTTTTTATTCTGTAGATAAAGCTGAGGTGTCAAAAGGGAATACCGCCAGCACTACGTGGCCGAGCATGGCAGTACCTTTCTGGAAGCAGAGTAAAGATGGACCAGAGCCCCCATAAATTTGATGTAAGTACATACTAAAAAAAAAAATGTATTTTTAAAGCTGATCTTTAAGCAGAAACCATATTTAATGTAGTATTATGCACGGAGTGGAAAAAATATTAATGCAAAGTTTAAACTTGCTACCAAATTGCCACCCCTCTGAAAAACTGTCCATCTTCAGATCGCTTTTCATAAGCATTTTTACAGGTGCCACCTCTATTGCCTTTGCTCAACCACACATTTTTAACACATTCAAACCCCCCACCCCCAACCACAAGTTTAAACGAGTGCCAAATTTATTTTTAAGGGCTCATCTAGGCTTTCAGTTGGGGGGCATTAAAAACACTCAGTTGAGCTGCTTTTTTTTAGAGCCCCCCCAACCGCTCTTCCTTGACGTATATGTAAACCCTCATGTAAAACAACCCATACAGTTTAAAATAGAAATGATGGGGAAAATGTTTGTGTATACATACAAATCATAACTAACTTTTCCCCCTATATTTGAGTGATCACATACTCTCTATTCTCAGCTGCATAGAGAGGTGACCGTGGAGAAACAGCAGCACATGCATCTTCCCAGTGAATGGCTTGCATGGGGGGGATGTGCCAAGACAAGTCTGATCATTGGAGGAGAGCAGAGTGCATTCTCAGCATAGCTAGAAAACTGACCACGCTGTGCTCATGTTTAGTGTGGTCAATTTTTAATAGGACAGCAGAGGGACTGGAAGGAACACCAGGGATTTCAAACAAACAAAGGAAGGAATACAAAGAGAACAGGATACATTTTCATACAAATTCATGGCACAGCAAGCACAGATCAGGAATATGAAATGTTGGGTTTATATATTCTCTAAGATACAAAGGCAGTGGACTGGCATGGTTACATGCTGCGGTCTAGGTCAGTCCCTCTGCTGACCAGGAAGATGTTGAGAGAAGAGAGAGGTTACCTCATCAGTCCGTTGCTGCTCCTTTGCTATCCTATCAGAGGCTAACATGACCCAACTGCAATACGTAAAGCAAACCTAGTGTGTCTAAACCCAAGAACACCGTTTTAATATATTGCAGCTTACCAATCGTTGTTTGCTGTGACTGTATTAGTTTTACTTTTTCAAGTAATATCTTGAGGGAGCGAGACAGAATAATGGAACTTTAACTTGGAATTTGCCTTTACAGAAGTTATGCTATGTGAATGTATTGCTGTCTTGCCTTATTCGACTGTCATGACACTGCTTTTGCTCCCATAGGAGCTGGACTCAATGGCAGGTGATCCTAAATGGCTGGATGTAATAGAACGAGATCTCCATAGGCAATTTCCTTTCCATGAAATGTTTGTGGCACGAGGGGGTCATGGGTGAGTTTTTTTTTCCTGCCTCCAAAAGAACATTTGCTAAAAAATGCTTGTCGGATGGTTCTTTTTTTTCCCAATATTTCCTGAGAGCCTGTGTTACTAGCTCAGCTTTCTATATCATTATCCTGGCATTGGCCCGCAATGCATTATTCAGACTTTTCCTGGCTGCATAACCACATTCTGTTAAGGTTATTGATTTCTACAGGCCTGAGAACAGCAGATATTTTTAAAAATCATATGATGGCCTAATGCCATATTTATTAAGCATTAAGTGCTGTATTATTAGATATCTCTTTGCCAGCAGTATAGATTGCTTTAACCTCGTGCCTGTCCGTACAAAGTAATTATAGAGCTGTTGCTTTGTATTGTAAAACTAGACCGTGAGCATTCTCTGTGCTTTCTTTGTTTAGAAGTAAATCTGTTTTGTTTTTGTTACTTTTGTTATTTCTGATAGAAAAATAGTGCAGAAAATAGAAATGACAGATGTAAATGACATGATCCATGCCCACTATATAATCCAGTCTGAAACTTATAGCAATATGGATAGTCACTGACTGTGAAGAAGTACACCAATGAGAAACATTGACTTCACAGGCTGGAAATTGTTCTGGGTCATTGGACTCAATTTATTGAATCCAGTGAATTGGCATAAAAGCCTCATAACTGGCATTTTCAGAAGGTCAGCAGAGGTAATCTTCATACCTCTCTCATGACAGGTTTCACTTTCACCATAATAGGAAACAATCCGTTTACTGTGATTGGGATGAAAGTATTGCTTAGAAGGAAGATATGTTGACTACGCTCTTAACTTTTTTTTACAATTTAAAACCCAACTCTTCGATGGAAAAAAAAAATCCTTTTAGTGCTCCCAGCACTTCAAGAGAAAAATGCTTGATAACTCCAGGTTGAAGAAGAGGTTGTATTGCTTACAATACCTCTCGTTCTGGCACTCTCCTCCTCTTCTCCCCTGCTCCAGGCTGTGGGTACTGTCCCTCGGCTTCATCACATGCAATGCAGGGCTATTTAGTCCTGCATTGTATGCGAAGGAGGTAAGTGTCTCTAAGGAGTTCTCAAGGAGCCTGCAAGGGATTGATTGCACAGATGGAGGGAGCCAGTGGGAGAAAGGAATATTATTATACAGGATTTATATAGCGCCAACAGTTTGAGCAGCGCTTTACAAAATGAATGTTAACATTACAGTTACTATACAATTTGGTACAAGAGGAAATAGCTCTGCTCAGTCTTAGGGTAAGTATTGCAGCTCACTGCAGCCTATTCCACTACCCCTAGACAGAAACAAGCATTTAACTTTTTTTTTTTTTTCTGTGGTTCGGGTTGGGCTTAAGGCTCGGTTCACACCATAAACCGCACAGGAATGCGTTGTGTGTTCCTGTATGATTTGCAATCCAGGTGCAGTGCGATTTTACCTATTCATTTAAATGGGCTGAAATCATGCCGGGCTGCACCAAAAGTAGTGCATGCACTACTTTATAAAATGCAGGGGAATCAGATTCCATGGTGCTATTGTACCATGCGATCCGGTGCAGGCAGATGCATGGTGTTTGAGGCGGTGTTGTGTTGATACTGACACCTGCTGCAGATTTCACGTGCAGTGCATTTTGAACAAAGTACAGGAACCCAACATGGGTTTTCTGTACCGTGTTCTTGGGTAACCCTTAAAGTGGTTGTAAAGGAACAAGGTTTTTCACCTTCATGCATTCTATGCATGAAGGTAAAAAACCTGTGTGCAGCAGTGCCTCCAGCCCCCTCAATACTTACCCGAGCCTCATCACGATCCAGCAATGTGAACAGCCTCTGCTGTCCCGCTGCTGTCAATGACAGCCAGTCAGCCAATGAGGATAGAGAGGGGGCTGGGCCAAGCCGCTGCTCCGTTTGTGAATGGACACACAGAGCAACGCACTCCCCCATAGCAAACTATTTGGTGTGGGGGCGCCCGACAGAAGGAAAGGGCCAGGAGAGCTTGCGGGGGACCCAAGAAGAGGAGGATCTGGGCTGCTCTGTGCAAAACCATTACACACAGCAGGTAAGTAAAACTTGTTTGTTTTTAAAAAAAAAAAAAATAATTTTTAGAATCGTTTACCTATGTATGGTTGGCCTTTTTGTTTCAAGAATTTTATTAGGTTTTAATGAAGGTAAGATACATAACAAATACAGTATTTTCTGGCGTATAAGACTACTTTTTATACCTAAAAATATACCCCAAAAATTGGGGGTCGTCTTATACGCGGGGTATAAAATGTGAACCTTGAGTTTGTTTGGGTCAAGCTGGCTGGATGTGTGGTAATACTGTGTACATACAGTATACCGTGCTGAGCCAAGCTGGCTCAAAACAAATGTCCCTATGACAGATTAATCTGTCAGCCCGCTGGATGTGCGGTATATACAATATACTGCGCTGAGCCAAGCAGTTTCAAAACGTACCGGTACGTCCCTACTGTAATCAGCCCGCTGGATGCGTGTATGTACGATAGCTGCGGCTACATACAGTATACACTGGGCCAATCACGGCGAGTGATGTATTCTACTAATGAATACAAAGCCTGCTCGGATTGGCTGAGTCAGAGAGGTGGGCTGATGTCACAACCTCAGCCAATCCAAGCAGGCTTTGTATTCATTAGTAGAATACATCGCTCGCCGTGATTGGCCCAGCATAAACTGTATGTAGCCGCAACTACCGTACATACACACATCCAGCAGTCTGATTACCGTAGGGACGTCCCGGTACGTTTTGAAACCGCTTGGCTCAGTATACTGTATATACCGCACATCCAGCGGGCTGACAGATTAATCTGTCATAGGGACATTTGTTTTGAGCCAGCTTGGCTCAGCGGGCTATACTGTATGTACATTACTGCACATCCAACGGGCTGTATATATACTGTATGTAGCCGAAGCTACCGTATTACTGCACATCCAGCGGTAACCATCTGATTTGGAATTTGATCCATATGATGACTGTCTTACAAATGTATCACAAGTTGTCATTCATGAACTTATGATGTCAGAGGATGAACATGAGGATTTTGAAGGATTTTAAGTGCTGGTAAGTCATAACCATTTCAATTAAAAAATCTGATGTTTTTAAATGGTGTTGTCTCGGAAGGGGGGTAGTCTTATACGGCGAGTATAGCCCAAAAGCTATGTCTTAACTGGAAAATTAGGAGGTCGTCTTATACACCCAGTCGCCTTATACGCCGGAAAATACAGTATATTAATGAATTCAGAAAAAAGGCATTGAGATTATACATTAGCAAACAATGAACATATAATAACTGTATATAGGATGGAATCCCATATGTGTAATGGTGAAAATGTTTCATAGCTCATCAAATATGTTACATAAAGATCAGTTATTACACAGGTTCTCATACAGCACAATTAAAATTTTAAGCAAAAGCATAGAAGGCAAAGAGATGTAAAATGACTCATAAATAGGTGATTTTCAAAGCAATAAAGAGAAATAAAATAAATAAAAAATCCCGCAATAGGAAGAAATGAAAAGAAAGTGAAAAGCGTTTTTAGGGGCAGGAGAGTAGGAAGGAAGAAGGGATAGGGAAAGTGGAGTAGACAATTCATAGTTGTTGATAAATAAGCTAAAACAACCCTTGCCAATCTGTTTGCCTGTGTTTCGGTGCTATAACTCGCACCTTATTTAAGTGAGATGTTCTTGTCTTTTGTAGGCAGCAAGATCTCTTCAGGGTACTAAAAGCTTACACTCTGTACAGGCCCGATGAAGGATACTGTCAGGCCCAGGCACCCATTGCAGCTGTCCTGCTAATGCACATGCCAGCAGAGGTGAGAAGTCCACTCCATAGTTTGTCAAGTATGAAATGACAACAAATCTCACAGCTCTTGTCTCTTCCACAGCAAGCATTTTGGTGTCTGGTGCAGATCTGCGAGAAGTACCTGCCGGGATATTACAGTGAGAAACTGGTAAGGAAAAAACTCCACAGTTATTATTCTGGCACAGCCGCTGTTTTCATTGGAGAGCCGCAGATAAAAATTGGCACCATGCAGGATGCAGAACAAGGGTCATTGAATGTCACTATCAAGATTCAGTGTAAGACTGGGAAAGCTGCAATGGTTTTCAACAAAGACCTGGCATACAAAACGCTTAGATACATCCTGAAAAGAAACAGATGTATGAGTTAAACATTCCGGGGGAAATAATATAGCTTGTGTGTTTTTTTTGTTTGTTTTTTTTTTTTTAACCCCTTCACGCCGGATCGTCCTGGCGTGAAGAGGAGTTTCTGCGCCGGGAGGTGGGTGGGACGGGGCTTAGTGTCATGTGACCGCCGTGACATCACGGTGGTCACATGATCGGGAAAGTTCCCGATGGCAAGAGGAGACTGGGACCTTTCGGTGAGTACCGTACATGCGTGCTGGGAGCGCGCAGGGCGCGCGCTCTCAGCACATATGTATTTTGTATATTGAACGCAAATGTGCGGTCGCTCGGCGTCTAGACACCGGGAGGCCGCACATTTGCGTGCTGCCGGCGTGAAAAGGTTAAACGAACACTTCTAAGTTTTAATTGATTTCTTTCATATATACATAAGTTTCATATATTGGCTTGGCAAAATGTGTTTGCACAGTGCACCGACCTGCAATCTAGTCCATCGCTGTAATGAAACCACTAATGAAACACTAGAAGATACTAGTGGTAAAACAGCAAGCACTTGGGCCTCATTCACACGGACGCATTTTAGCTTGCACCCATGCATGGGCTATGTTTACCTGCATGGGGATGTACAGAACATCCGTTTCATTCATGTCATGGCACAGACACAGCAGCTGCTCCCAATTTGACAAACGTGTGGGTCCCCAAATGCACTCTGTCTGCACTCATACTGCTGTCAAATTGGGAGCAGTGGCTGTGGCCATGCAGCCGCTACATCCCCTGTGCATCCCCATGCGGGTAAATGCAGCCCTCGCACAGGTGTACGTTTAAGTACGCCCATAATGAACAAGGCCTTAGTGTACACGCTATGCTTTACTACTGTGTTTCCCCGAAAATAAGACCTACCTCAAAAGTAAGACCTACCTCCACCAGGGGAGAACTGACCATTCGGGCACTGCCCAAGGACCCGGGGTGACTGCAGGGCCCCATGAGAGGCTCAGTCCGTCCCTGTATGTGCCGCTTCTGAAATAAGCAGGCATTGAGGTTACGGACAGTGAGGCAGACACTGCAGACACCTCTCCTCCGAGTTTCAGCAGAGGGGCTGGTCCACATCCCTACCACGGTGCTGAAGACGGAGTCCTGGTGATAGTACTGCAGCTTCATGTAGGAGGAGTGGGGGAAAAAGAGGGGAGAGAGGGAGGGGGGGGGGGGGCCTTGCTTTAAAACATACCTTTTTGTGGAGCTGGTGGAGAGATCAGTTAGGTTGCAAGCTGACGATCCCCCGCAGGATGGATCGGATCTGCTGATTGGGGAGGATAATGGATCAGACTCTGATCCATTATACTCAATCCGCAGATCCGATCCATCCTGCGGGGATCGTCGGAGAGGGGTGTGAATAAAAATAAGACCTACCCGAAAATAAGCCCATTTTTTTAACCTAAAATGAATATAAGACAGTGTCTTATTTTTCGGGCAAACACAGTAACTTGTAAGTACTTGTCAAATTGGTAACTGCCCCTACCAAAAGTAATGGATTTTGTCCTAGATGTGGCAAAATTTTAGAAAGATGCAACGGCAGTAGGTTGAGACTGATGTGTGATGGTTGGATTTGTACAGCCTTTCTTGGCTAACGAATATGGATCCTTTAATAGTATAGTTTACCTTTTATAATGTGATCTGTTATGCCAAACTGAAAAGACTTTGAGTGAATGCTAAATTGCAGTATACACTCACTGGCCACTTTTATTAGGTGCACCTTGCTAGTACTGGGTCAGATGCCCTTTTGCTTGCAGAACTGCCTTAATTCCTCATGGCACAGATTGAACAAGGTGTATACATTCCTCAGAGATTTTGGTCCATATTGACATGAGTTACTGTTGCCTTTCTGTCTTTTTCTTTTACTGATCATTCTCTGTAAACCCTAAAGATGGTTGTGTGTGAAAATCCCAGTAGATCAGCAGTTTTTCAAATACTCAGACCAGCCTGTCTGGCACCAACAATCATGCCACGTTCAAAGTCACGTAAGTCCCCTTTCTTCTCCATTCTGATGCTCCGTTTGAACTTAAGCAAATTGGCTTCACCACGTCTAGATGCCTAAATACATTGAGTTGCTGCCATGTGATTGGCTGATTAGCGATTTGTGTTATCAGACAATTGAACAGGTGCACTTAATAAAGTTGGCTGGCGAGTGTATAGTTACTACCATACACACTTTTTATGGCAAATAGGTGTGAAATTCTTTGTTTCATTGCCCGAAAAAAAATAACATAAAATAATTGCAAGTGTCCAGTTATGGCTAATCGTATGTCTATGGCAAAAGCGGTATTAAACTCCATTAACTCCTCACAGGTTTATGCCATAATGTGCTAGTATTCACCACATACTATCACATTATGACACATACCTGTTAAAGGAAGCCCTCCAGCACTGCGCTGTCAGCTCTCAGATACTCTCATCTTCTCCCAGTTTGCACTGTTTGGCCTCATGAATGGTTGGGCTGTGATGACTTCACTCCCAACATGCTCACTGGAGTCACTCCATCATAGCACAGAGCTGATGACATAAATGTACATTTCCACCGACAGACAGGGGGAAGCATTCATGAGCAAGGAGACTATTGGAGTCTCTTCTGTCATAAAAAGCCTGCCTGCCAGCAATTGTTTTATTTTGTGAGTTTAATACTGCTTGAAGGACTGCACATATTCTTTACAGCATGTTCACACATTTGTAAATCTGTCTATAAGGTGACTTTTAAATGCATATTTAAAAAAAAGGTGGCCACAGAAGTACAGTTGCAAGAAAAAGTATGTGAACCCCTTGGGATTACGTGGAGTTTTGCATGAATTGGGCATAAAATGTGCTCTGAACGTCATCTAAGTCACAACAATAGAAGAACACAGTCTGCTGAACATAATACTACACAAACATTAGATGTTGCCATGATTTAATTGCACATAACATGTAAACATTCACAGTGCAGGGAGGAAAAAGTATTTGAACCTTTGGACTTAATAACTGGTTGACCCTCCTTTGGCAGCAATAACCTCAACCACACGTTTCCTGTAGTTGCAGATCAGACCTGCACAACGATCTGGAGTAATTTTGGACCACTCCTCTTCTTAAAACTGTTTCAGTGTAGCAATATTCTTGGGATGTCTGGTGTGAATCGCTTTCTTAAGGTCATGCCACAGCATTTCAATCGGGTTGAGGTCAGGACTCTGACTGAGCCACTCCAAAAGGCGTATTCTGTGCTGTTGCAGCCATTGTTTTGTCGAATTACTTGTATTCTTTGGGTCATTGTCCTGTTGCATTACCCATCCTCTGCGGAGCTTCAGTTGGCGAAGAGATGGTCGTACGTTTTCCTGCAAAATGTCTTGATAAACTCTGGAATTCATTTTCCCATTAATGACAACAATCCGTCCAGGCCCTGAGGCAGCAAAGCAGCCCCAAATCATGATGCTCCCTCCGCAATGTTTTACAGTGGGGATGAGGTTTTGATGTTGGTGCGCTGTGCCTTTTTTTCTCCACACATAGTGTTGTGTGTTCTTCCCAAACAACTCAATCTTGGTTTCATCTGTCCACAGTATATTCTGCCAGTAGTGCTGTGGAACATCCAGGTGCTCTTTTGCAAACTTCAAACGTGCTGCAATATTTTTTTTGGACAGCAATGGCTTCCTCCGTGGTGTCCTCCCATGTACTCCATTCTTGTTTAATGTTTTCCTAATTGTAGATGTGTAAACAAAAATGTTAGCATGTGCCAGAGATTTCTGTAGGTCTTCAGCTGACACTCTGGGATTCTTCTTTACCTCATGCAGCATTCTGCGCTGGGCTCTTGCAGTCATTTTTACAGGACGACCACGCCTAGGGAGAGTAGCAACAGTGCTAAACTTTCTCCATTTGTAGACAGTCTGTCTTACCGTGGACACATGAACATCAAGGCTTTTGGAGATACTTTTGTAACCCTTTCCAGCTTCATGCAAGTCAACAATTCTTGATCGTAGGTCTTCTGAGAGCTCTTTTCTGCGAGGCATGGTTCACATCAGACAGTGCTTCTTGAAACCAGTAAACACAAAACAGGTGTGTGTTTTTTAAGGGCAGGACAGCTGTCAGCAACACATCCAATATCATCACACTGATTGGAGTCAAGGTTGGCTCACTCCTGGCTCCAATTAGCTCTGGGAGAAGTCATTAAGCTAGCGCCTCACATACTTTTTCCTCCCTGCACTGTGAATGTTTACATGTTGTGTGCAATTAAACCATGGCAACATCTAATGTTTGTGTAGTATTATGGTCAGCAGACTGTGTTATTCTATTGTTGTGACTTGGATGACGTTTAGAGCACATTTTTATGCCAAATTCATGCAAAACTCCACGTAATCCCAAGGGGTTCACATACTTTTTCTTGCAACTGTAGCTGTGTCTGTAACAACTGTGGGTATAGATATAAAGCAGACATTGTGGGATTCAGTGTAGGTGAATCTTTCTGGTTCATGTGTTTTTAACCAATTCAATACCGGGCAATTTTACACCTTCCTGCCCAGGCCATTTTTCAGGTCTCAGCGCTCTCACACTTTGAATGACAATTGCACGGTCATACAACATTGTACCCAAACTAAAATGTTATCATTTTCTTCACACAACTAGAGCTTTCTTTTGGTGGTATTTAATCACCACTGGGGTTTTTATTTTTTGCTAAATTAACAAAAAAAGACCAAAAATTTTGAAAAAAAAAAGTTTTTCTTTGTTTCTGTTATAAAAGTTTGCAAATAAATAATTGTTCTTCATAAATTTAGGCCGAGATGTATTCTGCTACATGTCTTTGGTGAAAATAACCCAAATTAGGATGTATTTTTTAGTTTGTAGGAAAGTTATAGAGTTCACAAACTATGGTATAGGTCTGAATATGGCGTCCACCTGGAACGCTGATGACATTTGCCGCCCGCCATTCGGCCATAGGGCGGGCGGCAAATGGTTAATTTACAGTGAATGATTGGAGACCGTCACATTCACTGCTTTATAAATATTCTCCTTAGACATTGTAACACAGGTTTAGTTATCTGCTATCTCCTACTAATAATTAATATGACTGACCTTTGACACATGGAAAGTAAAGCTTTGTTTGGTTCAAATTTAACTAAAGGCAAGCCGAGTTCTTCTTAAAGCAGTTTCAATGATCATGGTCTCGTGCTTTTATATTTTGCAAGTGCATTCCCATTTACAGTAGTTTGTCTACAGTGTTAGCTGATCGATGTGATCATGAATAAAACTGTCCTTTTTCCTTAGGGAACTAGTGAATACTTGTAAATATTGTACATTCTTTCCTTTTGGAATCCCATTTACAAAGCACAAGGTTAAGAGTGGAATATATTGCTATGTATCAGCATAATGTTCCTAAGGAAACGTGGTTGGAGGAATGTGTCCAATCTCTTGGGAGCGAGAATTCTATTGTTATCTCCTGGCTTTGTCTTCTGTGAAGAATTTGTTGTTTTTTTTTGGTGTAGCAAAATGACTTGTTCATTGTGTAATGGCATTTCACGTATAAGTTAATGTGTATACATATAATCAGAAATACAAAACTGGCTATGGAGTCTGCTTCTTTTCATTGAATATATAAGAGTATGTTCACTTTAAATAACGTAGCACAGAAAAATTAGTTACATGGGCAATTAAACCCACAGCACTGATCCCTCCCTCCAACCCCTCTTCCACCATTTTTGGTAAAAGGTTTGCCATCAGGTGTCCATTGCCAGCACCCCTTCTGTGAGTGTGGGGCTATGATCCAAGCCTACAGTCTGTGTCCATGTCAGCTAGTTACCTTGTGGTGATGCTATCATGTGTGCAGTCATCTGGATCCTGAAAGAAACCCCTTCCCCTACAGTAGAGATTTCCCATTACCAAAGCAGTGACATGGGTACCTGAAGAAGGACCCTTCAACTCTGCAAGCAGATTGATTCCAGGGCTGGACATCTGACCCGCAGGACTTCACTATCTTGACTTTATTGGACATGTGAATGACGCCTAAGACTTGCATGTCCTTACTTGAAGGAGTTGACTGATTGATTCTGTTGAGGATGAATTGCACCATAGTGGCTGAATCTGTAGAAGTCATCGATGTCTTGCTTTTACAATTTATTTACTGCTTGTTAAGAATGTGTAATTATTTGAGTGTCCAAACCCTCGCCACATTACTCTACTTTTTTTTTTTTTTAATTGTATGAGTCAGAAATGCATGCTGTTTTAGAAACTTGCCTTGTCACAGCCCTTTGTTGTTGAATTTTTTCATTTTGTCATGTGGCTTAATTGGATGATCCTTAGCTCTACGGGTGTGGAGAGGCATTCTTGGCAGTTCTGTTTTCTCATCTATCAGAGTTTGTGGTTGCTATAATTTTGTTGGTAAGGAGAGGTTGAGCAAGTGTTATAATGTAAATATTGCTTAACTGAGAAATGTCATAATTTGGCGGTCCAGCACCACTACCTCTCTGAACAGTACACACTCTGTACAGCTCATAGTCCTTGTCACTGTTCAAGGACCACTGTTGGATGCATACTTGTGCATAACACAACTCACTGTTTTTTGTGGGAGGTTTTTTATATACAAAGGGACATGGTGTGTTCAATTCACTTATGGTCTTTAGTGTTCAGCTGCATTTAGCACGTGTTGCTCTTTGCCGTTTTATTTTCGTTATTTTTTTTTTGGTGTTTTGTATGTAAAACTCAAGATTAACACTTAAGAACAAGTTTTACATTGCATTATATTTGCTGTTAATGTGTGAATGTTAGATGCTTGTTCTAATATGCGGAATGTCTGTTGACAAATCTTAAAAAAATGTTGTCTTCGTGCCAATTCCTGTTTGCACAAACCCAACTGGATTCTTTCCTAATAATACATGATTTGCATAGATTCTTCTTTTTTCCAGTGTGCATTACAGTGTGCAGCCTAAATAAAAAAAAAAAAAAAAGCTCTCCTAAACTCTAAAAAGGCTTCTCACCCTCGCTAATATTGTCTTGTCTTACCTAGAAAGTTAAAGTATAACTAAAGGCAAACATATCCCTTCACTTCCTGTCCCATAGCCAAACAGGAAGTAAGAGAAATTCCTTGCAAATTAAGGGAATTCCTTGGGGATCCCCAGGTCACCAGAACGAGTGTTCCCATTGTAAGACTTCCCCCTCTATTACCTTTCTGGGGACAACCCAAAATTTCTTTCACTTATTTATTTCAGGTACTTCTATAGCGCCGTCAATTTGTGCAGCGCTTTACATACATATTGTACATTCACATCAGTCCCTAACCCTCAAGGGGCGTACAATCTAAAGTCTCTAACGTACATTCATACATATACATACTAGGGACAATTTACACAGGAGCCAATTAACCTACCGGCATGTCTTTGGAGTGTGGGAGGAAGCTGGCGTACCAGGAGGAAACGCACGCAGGCACAGGCAGAACATGCAAACTGCAGGCAGGTGGTGCCGTGGTTGGGATTTGAACCGACAACCCTAGTACTGCAAGGCGGAAGAGTACTAACCATTTAGCCACTGTGCTGCCCTAACTTTCAATGATAATCGTAAATAGGACAAATAGAAAAGGTGGATCTCCTAAAGAGGGGCACAGACGGCAATAAAAACTGACAGGTGTTCTAATCCCTCTGCACTCAATCCAAAACTAAGGAAAAAAAAAAAAAAGTTTTGCTGTTACTTATACTTTAACGTTTTATATGTTTTTGTTCAATCGTTACCATATTCTACATAATTGATATTCCATTTTACATGAATGAATATATACATGCATATAGCACTGCGTTTACCTCTGTCTGCTGTCGGAGTCCTGTTACATATGTAATACATGATATTTTCATGTTTGCTTATTCACTATTAATTACTTTAAAATATAACTAAAGGCAATCTTTTTTTAGTTTTGGATAGAGTGGAGAAGGATTACAACACTTGTCAGGTTTTTACTGCTGTCTATCCCCGGTTAGGAAGATTCACCCTCTCTATTTGTTCTGTTTTAACATTATTGAAAGTAAAAGAGAACCCAAAATTTTGGGTTGTCCATAGAAAGGTTTATGGGCCATTATCACCAACCATGAAAGTGAAAGAAGATTCCAAATTGTCAGTTTTCACCAGAACAGGAATAGAAGGAAAATCTTCCAATGGGGACACTGGCTCTGGTGTCCCTCTCAATTCCTGTTTTGGCTATGAGATGGGACATTTAAGGGGAATATCTGCAAAAAAAACCACACGGGTTATAACTCTCCCTTACTCATTTTTTTTTTTTTTTTTTAAGTTTTGCCTTTTAGTTCTACTTTTTATGCTGAATTATTTCACTGTGAGCTTTGACCATTTTTTTTCCAGGAAGCGATTCAGTTGGATGGAAGGATTCTGTTTGCACTGCTTCGAAAAGTGTCTGCAGTGGCCTACAAACACCTGAGCAAGCAAAAGATTGACCCCATCTTGTATATGACAGAATGGTTCATGTGCGCATTTTCGCGGACACTTCCCTGGAGTTCTGTTTTACGAGTGTGGGACATGTTTTTCTGTGACGGTAATTATTTAGTTCAACTCTCTGCAGCTGTATTGAAAAGCTTCATGTCTTTAAATGTCAAGTGATGTACCATGTTAGCCATCAATGGCAGCAGGATAGTACAAATGTAGGCAATACTTTTTGCTCATGCCAGAGAAAGAAAACCAAGTGTTTATGAAAGCATGTACCCCTAGGTATATTGTTAGCACGTTTAAATTAGTATTATTACAGGCACTTATATAACGCCGTCAATTTACGCAGCACTTTACATATATATTGTACATTCACATCATTCCCTAACCCTCAAGGGGTGTACAATCTAAAGTCCCTAACTTACATTCATACATATACATACTAGGGACAGTTTAGACAGGTTCCAGCATGTCTTTTGGAGTGTGGGAGGAAACCGGAGTACTCACGCAGACACAGGGAGAACATGCAAACTCCAGGCAGGTGGTGCCGTGGTTGGGATTTGAACCAACGACCCTAGTACTACCAGGCGGAAACGCTAACCATTTAGCCACTGTGCTACCCATAAATCAAAGTTAATGTATAACTAAAAGCAAAGTGTTTACTTATGGATAGAGTGGAGAGGGATTAGAACATATTAGGTATTTATTTCTGGCCGTGGCCCTGTTAGGGAGATTCACCCCCCTCTATTTATCCTGCTTACCATTATCATTCAAAGTGAAAGCAAAAGAAATCCCACATTTCGGGTTGTCCCCACAAAAGTAATAAAGCGTAAATTTTCCAATGGGGACACTAGTTCTGGTGACCTGGGGCTTCCCAAGGAGTTTTCTTAATTTGCAGAGATCTCTTTTTCTGTTTTGGCTATGGGACAGGAAGTGAAGGTAAGTCCCCCAATGGGAGTCCGATGGCAAAAAATAAACTTACAGGGGTCATAACCTTCCCTTACTCTATCCACAAATGGGGGGAAAAGTTTTGTGTATAGTTTCTACTAGAAGGTTGACTGGAGAGGGTTCAAATATTGCCTTCTAGGTGACATGACTTAGCCATGACTTGCCTTGTGAATTAATGAAGTGCACTCGTGAAGTACAGTAAAGCGGATTGAGTAAAATTGGGAATAAAAGGGGTATTTTTTGGCTTACAGTGAGACTGCCTCTATGACTCAAATCTGATGCACTATGCTGTGTGCACCCAGGCATTCTCGGTGTACTGCCAGCTCAGAGTGTGAGGCGTGCGGTGGCCTTGTTAGACGGGCAGGATTCATGCTGCAAGGAGCTGTTAAGCTGTTACTCATTATAGGGTGTGTGACTAGCGCTGCTTGTCTCTACATGCTTTTCCAGGACAAGAGAGGAGCACAGTGTGTCTGTTCTAGCTAGTGTCATTTAGCACATGTTGTGCGTGTCTCACCCCTTCTGTTTTTGGCATTTAAAGGACACACATCAAAAACAAGTAAAATTATTAAAATTAGGTACTACAAATACTATTAGTATTATGATATTCTGTACTCAAATATATCCCCACATAATTGAAGTGGTATTACATATGCTGTACCTAATTATGTAAGCTGGCTGTTCTGGTTATGAAAATACTAGACAATCCTCTTTAAATTCTTAAAGTGATACTAAACCCCTGACCCTGCATTCACTATATCCGGTCTCCCACAGTACACACAACATGGAAGTGCAATTATTTTAGTAAATATAAACTGCTAAATACCTTTTCTCATCAGCAGTTAGAGCAATCCTGTGACTTCAGCAGAGCACTGGTTAAAGCTTGTAGGAGGAGTTTTTTTTCTGCTCTAGGAGGATGTGAAATCTCTGACGCTCTCTGTGGACAGTTTGGCCATGATTGGCCCTGTGCTGATCACATGCACCCTCCCAAAAAAAAAAAAAAAAACCTCTCTAGCAGTACACACCAAACTGAGCATGTACATGTGACCACGGGTTCAGTCTGTATCAGGTGGTCATTTCAACAAGAGGAGAGGCAGAGAAGAAAGGATCAAACAGCCTTTTTACACAATGCAGAGGATTAACCCCTTAGGTTCCACAGTGAGTATAAGCATGCTTTACTGCATATACAGTCTGCACTCTCCCAAGAGGATTAAAAAAAAAAAACCTCTCTAGCAATACACACCAAACTGAGCATGTGCAGAGTGACTCCACACCATATGTCTTATCAGGAGAGTAGTGGCTTGAAAAAGGGGAGGAGCAGAGAAGACAGAGGAGTATATAACAAGCATGCTTTACTGCATATACAGACTGATTTTACTGTTGTGGGTTTGGTAACACTTTAACATTTACATTTAAAGGATTCACCTACTTACTGTGCTCTCTGGGGGATATACTTCCTTGATAAACAATGCGTGAGACCCAATCCAAATGTCTTCAAGCAATTGCATCTCTGGGGCGGTCGGCTCTGAGCCGTGTCTGTGTGTGAATGGACACACAGAGCAGCAGCCCCCATAGCAAACTGCTTGCTGTAGGGGCACTTGGCAGAAGGGAGGGGCCAGGAGCGCTGGTGGGGAACCCGAGAAGAGAATGATCAGGGCTGCTCTGTGCAAAACCACTGCACAGAGCAGGTAAGTATAACATGTTTGTTATTTAAAAAAAAAAATGTGCCTTTACATTCACTTTAAGCCTGGTTCTCACATTCAACATTCAGTTTTTTTTTTTTCTTTCAACCCAGCAGGCGGAACAAAAAAATAAAAAACTGAGAGATCATTGTATTAACTAAGCGATGTTAGTGCAGCGGTCTCCCACTGTGCCTTTGTGCTCTGACAGAGGGACCCCCTGGACCTTGTGTACCCAGCTTATGTCTTGGGTTTCAATACACACACAGCCCTCTAAAACAGAGATTTTGTAAGCATTTTGGTGGAGCTCAGTCCATCTTTCTCAAACAGATGGACTGAGCTCCACTGAAATGTTGCCAATAAATGCCTGTTTTGATTTATCTCAGCTTCAAGACCCGTGAGTGCCCTCTCTGTGTTTATTTTAGATTTGTATGGATTTGGATTTGTATTTCTTGGTTAATGAGTACCTGGGCAATTTTTTTAATAGTGTGTGTGTGTGTGTGTGTGTGTGTGTATATATGTGTGTGTATATATATATATATATATATATATATATATATATATTATATATATAGATAAATGCATGTACAAGCTATTGGGATTTGAGCACAGGTATATCTTGTTTCTTTAATGCTATAGCACAGCCTTTCTCAACCAGGGGTGCCTTGAGGTTTCTTCAAGGGTGCCTTGGCAAAATGCTTACAAGTTGCCCAAAACTTGTATACAAGACTGCCTTTTAGTTACACAAAGCCACAGGTTTTCATTGTGCACCATTACAACCTTCTAGCCGCCGAATCCTGACAACCAATGACATCATCAGTTGGTAAGGAGGATGTCAGTTGCCTGCACAGCATCCTAGTTTGACCATCCCCTGCCCCTCTCCATCGGTGCTGGGGTCACATTAGCTCAGTGATGGAGAAAAACTTAGGGATAAGAGAAACACTGGAAAACTACTCAGTACCAGTGTGCAAAAGTTTTTTTTTTTTTTGTGCTTTGGAAGAATAAATCAGTTGTAATGTTGGGTGTCCTACATGTGTGGATGCTGCTGTGTTATATAAAACTATTAGAATAGTTTTTCACATTTTAGAATGGGAAGCCCTTTTAAAATTATGGGCAGTCTGGAGGCACCCACGTTTAGAATGGGGTGCCTCAAGAATGTCTATAATGCTAAAGGGTGTCTCAGGAATGTCCATAATTTTAAAGGGTGCCTTGACTGAACAAAGGTTGAGAAACACTGCTATGGGCAGTACACTTTTTTCATACTTACAAGTCATCCTCACGTTCAGGAAAGTTAGTTCTCCTTTGGGGTGATGGCTTTCTCATGGAATTCAGAGCTACTGCCAGTGAGGTATGCCCTCATGTATGTGTGGTATGCATGCTCACGTCTGTTTACTTATGTTAAAAATGTAAGCAGTGACTACCCAGTTTAAAGTACACATTCTCTGCTTTTACTAATCTTTTAGATTATGAGGTTAATATACTAAAACTGGAGAGTGCAAACTCTGGTGCAGATCTGCATAGAAACCAATTGGCTTCTACCTTGTTCAATTAAGCACTGACAATAAAAAAAATGGAAGTTGATTGGTTTCTATGCAGAGCTGCACCAGATTTTCCTTCCACTCTCCAGTTTTAGTAAATCAACCACTATATATTTCATATTCACATGATAATGTTGATCAAAATAAATGTAACCTAAAAAAAAGGCAAAAGCTACACATTTCCAAATAATTGCATTGAAAGAGCCACCAAACGTAATTACCACTATTTATTATTGTACTGTTAAAGCACTTTAGGACCAACTTCACTCAACATATTCCTGATTTGGGTGGGTCCTGAGGGGCTTTATTACCTGCCTTCTTTTATGGTAGGATGTCCCTGCAATAGTTTGCATCTCTGCCTCTACCACAAGGCCATAAGAAAAATGCCAAGCACTTGCATCGCAGCTTCCCAATTATTTGCTCTACATCAGGGGTCTCCAACCCTTTCAAAAAAAGAGACAGTTTACTCTTCTTCAGACTTTAAGGGGCCGGATTTAGGTCAGTGGGGGTAGAAAATGTCCCGGGCCGACTATCTGTGAACATAAACATGGCCTCAGGGTTGGTAGTCAGTAGGAGGAGGAATAGTACCCCATCATTGGTATCAGTGAGAGGAATAGTACCCCATTGTTGGTGTCAATGGGAGGAGTAGTACCCCATCATTGATATTAGTGGGAGGAATAGTGTCCCATCATTAGTGTCAGTGGCAGGAATTAAGACCCACTGTTGGTGTCAGTGGCAGGAATAGTGTCTCATATCATTGGAAGGGATATTGCCCCCCAAAGGGCCAGATAAAGGCTAGTAAAGGGCTGCAGTTTGGAGATCACTGCATTTGATTATGGACAATCTACCACAGAAGACAATTCTTTTGCTTTACAAGAGCCATGGCAGATGGGCAGAACTAGTGACATTTTAAACATGAGAAGTCAGCTTGTAAAGACTGGGATATT